AGATTCGGAGAGATTCAAAAACAAAGAAAAAAGGTTCTTACCTGGAGCTCCAGTCTAGTAGATAAGAGACAAGTAAGCAATAATTACAGCATAAGGTAATGTGGCCCTAATAGAGATGTGAGCAAAATGCTATAGGAGAATGAGCTTTTCCCTCAAATGAACCCAATAAAAGATAACACAATAATATAGTTCACTATCACACACACGCAAAAACTAAACACATAATAAATAACGTATGAGAATGTTTGGTCTTCTTAGGTCAGTAATAACAATGACTATATATTATGGCTACAGATATTTTATATAACACTTATGTATTATAAGGTAGATCAATCAGCTTTAATTATGATTTAATATCTTTATCTATGATCATTGTAAGCAACTTAAGAGCAGGAATCATGTTGTTTACCTTTGTGTTCCAAGGCCTAACACGATACCTGTTATATAATAGTTTTAACACATGTTGAATGAATGAATGCATACACATATACATGAGTGTTCATGATTACATAAATAGCACACTTCTGTATTCATGGATACCAGAACTAAGTGGGACAGACAATACTAAGAAAGGATATTTGATATTCAATATATCAGAAGATTCACTAAACAAAGGGAAACGAAGTTTAATAGGGATGGGTACTGAGAGCACCTATCTACAAGCTAACATATGTGCTTCATTTTTTTTCATATTCTCTCTAGTTGTATAATCATAACTACATATTAGATATTCAACAAATGCTTGTTGAATGAACATTTTTACCTCCATAATATATCTCTTGAACCCAACTCCTCTCTATTGGCCTGAACTTTAATAGCATTCTATGTATCTCCACTCTTTCTCTTCCAAAGTAGCTTTAGTTGCCATATTAGTCCTCCTAAAATACACTGATTGTGTAACTTTTATTTTAGAATTTCTCGAATGGCTCCCTAGTATTCAGGATTCCTCATTTAAAAAAAATGAATAGGGAGTTCATAGTACAAAAGCCTGGAACTGACACAGAGCAGATACTAAATAGTCAAAAATTAATGAGCTAGGCTGTGGTGGAAAATTAGTTATCCATATGTTTTAAAATGAGAATGGATCCCTACACAAAAATCAATTTGTTACGTATTAAGAGATTTAAATATAAAAGAAAACATATGATATTTTAAAACCATCTTTACTCAGCTCTCTAGTCTCCCAGCTGTTATTTACTACTGGGTTTCTTAGCGTAACTCCCTATACAAGCACAGTTTAGGAATCTGCTAAAAACTTGTAAGGAATTTGTATCCAGATTCTTGCATTCCTTCTCTGCAATTTTCTCCTCTCCAGGATTTTGATCTTCAAGTTCCAGCCACTATCTCAAAACTCTGCCTCAATTTCTTCAGCCCAGTAAGACTTGCTGCTTCCTGTTGGAGCTGTATCCTTTTGCGTTCCAATTTGGAAAATGTCAAAAAGGAAAAGGCCAGGATGAATGTGGTGCTCACTTCATGTGTTTCTCTTCTCTGAATGATTGTAGTCCCTTAGATCCTACCTGTGCTGACTCTTCTCAATGCCTTCAAACAGTATATATAGTATTTTATTCAGTTTTTATAAACTTTTTTGGCAGGCAAGTTTTAAAATAAGCCATCCTGGTCAGAACTGATACCTAGTTATGAACTGATGCCTAGTTTTGTTGGTTTCTCATTTTTCTAATTCCTTGTTTAAAAATTTTTAAAAAAATTTTTTTGAGGCAGGGTCTCACTCCAGTCCCCCAGGCTGAAGTGCAGTGGTGTGATCTCTCCTCACTGCAGAATTCCCAGGCTCAAGTGATCCTCCCACCTCAGCCTCCTAAGTAGCTAGGAGTACACGTGCTCATTACTATGATCAACTAATTTGTGTGTGTGTGTGTGTGTGTGTGTGTGTGTGTGTGTGTGTTGTGTTTGTTTAGTAGAGACAGGGTTTTGTCATGTTGCCCAGGCTGGTCTTGAACCCCCAGCCTCAAGTGATCCACCTGCCTTGGCCTCCCAAAGTTCTAGGATTACAAGTGTGAGCCACTGTGTCTGGCTGGATTCCTTCTTTTAATTATTTATAATATTAAATAAAATACAGATTTTTTGAGACAGGATCTTGCTTTTGTTGTCCAGGCTGGTCTCAAACTCCAGGGCTCAAGCAGCCCTTCTGCCTTAGTCTCTCGAGGAGCTAGGACTATAGGTGTGTAGTTGTAATTTTATTTTTTTTTTTAAATAAATGGAGTCTATGTTGCCCTGGCTGGTCTTGAACTCCTGGCCTCAAGAGAACCTCCTGCCTGGGCTTTCTAAAGTACTGAAATTACAGGTGTGAGCCACTGTCCTTGGCTAATTTCTTCTTTAATATCTTCAAACAGTTCATCAGTGGTTATTTTATATGGTGCCTCTAATGAAGCCAATCCCTGATGTTTTTCATAGACTAAATCTGTTTGTTGTTTCTGCTGACTCTCATTCTCTCATTCATAGTAGACTGATCCCTTATGTGTTTGGTGATCTTTCATTGTGAGTTCACGTTTGGTTTATGTAATATGGGGAAATCCTGGAAGTTTAAGGTAAAGACATTTTTTTCTGAAGAGAATTTGTGCTTGTGTCTGTTTGGAGGCAAAAGCTATCACAGACCTGGAACATATTATCTCCAACTATTCTTTGAAAATTATTCATAGATCATTTACTATCTTATTCCTGACTATTGTATACTATCTTTGATTTCTTAATGCTGGTGCTTTTTATAAAGCACAAATGAATTAACATAATACCCAGATTTAATTGGACGGAGGAAAATACTAAAGAATTATTACTAAACTTTTCTGGGAATTCTAGTGTTAGTGTGATCATTACTGCTTTTGGCAAGCATGTAAAAACAAACAGCAACACAGAGAAAGGGAGGAAATGCCTAATTATCAGATACTTGAAAGAACATGAGCTCTGTTATGAAATCAACTATGTAAATACTGCCATATAAATCATAGTTCGATTTATTCTTTGATACTATGAAAAACTTGTAATTTAAAAAATCAAAGTAGAAACAAAAAAACAAAAGAAAACAATGCATGTTATCTGATGAAAAGATTTACAGCTAACATGTCTGGTTGTACATTCCCCTTCTCTCAATTACCTTGATCACATAATACTTCTACAAAAATATTATAATGTTGAATCATCAACTGAAATCCTCACTTTCTCCACATAATCTACTCGATGTTAAGCTAGGTTCCTTCACTCTACATTTTTGAAGCTGAGTTTTACACCTAAATCAATCATAATGAAAAAGCTAAAGGGTATCAAAGTATTAATTTTGGGGCTATTCCCAATCTGAACTGTTTGCTTTTTTACGATAACAAGTTAAATGGAATTACCCTTCCTGAGTGAATAATTTCATCAGCTGACAAGCCTAGGTGAAAGGTTATAATATAAACACCCGAGCAGTAGTTAAAACTGAGATTGAAAATGAGGGAGTTTTTTTTTTTAATTACTACTATAATAAAAACCAAATTCAAGAGAAGTAACTTTCGAAATAACCTGACAGACTCAACTGAGAAGAGCATATAACTAGCATATTCAGTAGTATATCTTAATGTCAGCCTCTTTTTATGCATTCGACTAGTGAGAGGTATTTTTCTAATCCCTTAATTAATTAGCTACATCTGGTTCACATTTTTTAAATAGAAAATAACGCTAATAGTTCCTGCTGGATCTAACTCATTTTCATTGCTTTTTATTCAAAAAATACAGAAATTTGAAATAACAAAAAGAAAAATATCAGGCATTGGAAATCTATTTTTTGGAGCAAAATTTTATGGAGAAAAAATAGTTTTTAGGTGAATAAGTCTTTAAATAAATGTAGAAGCTTCCTGTTTTATGTGTTTGATATGTTCAATCTTAAAAATCTGAGCTCTTAATAATACCTTTAAAAATGAAAAATCATTGACATTGGCAACATAGCTTTAGATTTTAAAAAGTTGAAAATACATTCAGAAAATAAATTTATTTTATGCCACTTAATGTTACATATTTCAAGAGACATTTCAACTTTTAAAATTTTATTGATTTGATTTTTATTTATTTAATTATTTAGAGACAGGGTCTTGCTCTGTCACCCAGGATGGAAGTACAGTGATGTAAACTTGGTTTACTGCAGCCTCAAGCTCATAGGTTCAAGTGATCCTCCCACCCGAACCCCACAAGTAGCTGGGACTGCAGCTAATTTTTTTATTTTTTGTAGAGATGGGGGTCTCGCTATGTTGCCCAGGCTGGGATTTCAGCTTTTTTAGTAAAAGTAATACTCATTAAGAAAAAAATTTTAAACAGTGAAAAGTAAAAAAAAAAAATACATATATATTCCCCAAATTTGAACCCAACCACTATTAATATCTTTGTGCATTTCTTTTTGGTCTTTATTTTTCCCTATATATAGATTGGTAACATAGTTTGATCACATTGTATATATAAATTTGATCTTTTTTTCCAATAAACTTTAGATCACAGAATAAATTCTACTGTTCAAGGAACCTGAAATGCAGCTGCTGAAGGTTATCTGTGCCTTTACTCTCTGCAGCTTAAAGACATCTTTTAGAGAAAATATATAAAACCTAAGAGTCATGCATTTGAGATTTTTTTTTTTTTTTTTTTTTTTTTTTTTTTTTGAGAGGGGGTCTTGCTCTGTCACCCAGGCTGGAGTACAATGGTGCAATCTCGGCTCACTGCAACCTCCGCCTCCTGGGTTCAAGCAATTCTCTACCTCAGCCTTCTGAATAGCTAGGATTATAGGTGCCTGGCACCACGGCTTGCTAATTTTTGTAGAGACAAGGTTTCACCATCTTGGCCAGGCTGGTCTTGAACTCCTGACCTCGTGATCCACCCAGCTTAGACTCCCAAAGTGTTGAGATTACAGGTGTGAGCCACTACGCCTAGCTAAGATTTCTTTATTATCTTTCCATTGCATAGTTCCCCTAATCAACTAGCAGCCATCACATAAAACATTCATTCTTCAAGAAAATTTTACTTCTCACCTTCTGAGCTGCAAGATGGAGGGCTGTTCTCTGGCTATGATCAGTTTTATTCACATCTGCTCCTGCCTTCAGAAGAGCGTCTGCACAATCCAATCTGTCAGCCAACACGCAATACATAAGTGGTGTTCTCCCAAATTGATCTTCTTTGTCTTTAAGAGCAGAGTTTCCTATGAGGATAAGAAACAGATAATATTTGATAATTGTTATTACTAATATAAGTAGGAATATTTACTGTTTATTATCAAGTATTGTGCTAAATGTATTAAATATATCATCTCATTTTTACTTGTCCTATGAAGTAGATATTACCATTGTCATATTGTAGGAAACTGAGGCTCAAAGAAGTAGCCAGTCTATGTTCACACTGAAAGTAGGTGGAATTAGAAGTCAAACTGACTGATAACTCAATCATCTTATGCTGAACTAACATTTTGAGATTCAGAGCTACTTATGTTCCTCCCTCCCTCACTCTTGTCTTTTAAAACAAATATTTAATTAGTGCCAATTGTACACTAGGCATGTAGTATGTTTTATGAATGACATAAAAATGAATCACAGGCTGGGTGTGGTTGCTCATGCCTGTAATCCCAGCACTTTGGGAGGTTGAGGTGGGCAGATCACCTGAAGTCAGGAGTTCGACACAAGCCTGACCAACACGATGAAATCCCATCTCTACTAAAAATTCAAAAATTAGCCGGATATGGTGGTGGGCACCTATAAACCCAGCTACTTGGGAGACGGAGGCAAGAGAATCTCTTGAACCTGGGAGGCAGAGGTTGCAGTGAACCAAGATCATACCATTGTACTCCAGCCTGGACAAGAACAAAACTCCATCTCAAAAACAAAACAAAACAAATCACAGCTGATTTTCCTTTCTAGACAAGATGACAAGATAGAACAAGTACATAATATTGTCATCCTCCTGCTAATTACAACTGAAATCTCCGGGGCAAAAGACAAAATAAATGACAGGTGGAGAAGGGAAGGCAACCTTGACTAGGAACTTTGGAACTTGAGAGACAACCTGGTGGTAAGTTCCCTGAAGAGTTTTTTGTTTGTTTGCTTGTTTGTTTTTGCCTCCAATCTATAGTAAATTAGGGGCTAGAGTAGGCTAAAGTCCAGAAACACCAAGGCGCACAGTTGCCAAATTTCTTGAGAAGCCTACTCTCTCTAGTAAAAAGACTGAGAGGCAGGTAGGTCTGCTGAGTGAACCATTTGGCTATGCTCTACTCAAAACACATACAACAAAAGAAACTGTACCTCTTTTCCTCACTAGGCATTACAGAAACTGTTGGGAGGAGCCCTGTCAAACTATCATGACTTGAATTAGGCAAAGGATAGCAACAAGGTAGTATTTTACCCCTTTCAAACTAGAGAGTAGAAGAGGATTACGAAGAGGATGAAATTGGAGGAAGTAATTCTTTAAATTGGCATAATGTCAGGATGCTTTTGAGCAGCTCATGTGTGAAACTGGTCAGAATCAAGATAGCAAAAGATCTAAGAATTAAACTATAATTAGATTACTGCCTTTGTTCTAAGCGAGCCTGAGTAGCCCAGAGGTGTGGCAAACCAGAAAAGCCCTGCAAGATATCTGAAAACTAACTTGAAATTTGAACCACAAAATCAAAAGAGAATGTTCATTCTGCATCTTAACAGCTTGTCAGTTTACTAAAATAAGATATTTAAACAGGATCCAGAGTCTCATAATACAGAAAATGTCAAAGATATAATCCCAAATTACAAAACAACTCAAAAGTTGGGAAAATATTAATTTAAACAAGAAAAGACAATCAACAGGCACCAACACTGTGATGACACAGATGTATTAGAACTATATGACAAGAATTTTAAATCAACTCTTATAAAAATGCTCTAACAATCAACTATGAACATTCATGAAACAAACAGAACATCAGGAATGAAAAAGGAACAGCAGAGGTCAGGTGCGGTAGCTCACGCTTATAATCCCAGCGCTTTGGGAGGCGGGCAGATCACGAATTCAGGAGTTTGAGACTAGCCTGGCCAATATGGTGAAACCGTGTCTCTACTAAAAATACAAAAATTAGCTGGGCATGGTGGTGGATGCCTGTAATCCCAACTACCGGGGAGGCTGAGGCAGGAGAATGGCTTGAACCTGGGAGGCGGAGGTTGCAGTGAGCCAAGATAGCTTGGGCATTAGAACTAGACTTCATCTGGAAGAAAAAAAAAGGAAAGAAAAAGAGCAGCAGAATGTAAATAACTGAAAAAAAAAAAAAATAGACTGTTTTTATCCTCTTTAGTTTTTTGTTTTTATTTTAATGAGGGTCTCACTGGGCTGTCCAGGCTAGTCTTGAACTCCTGGTCTCAAGCAATTCTCCTTGACTCAGACTCCTGAGTAGCTGGGACTACAAGTCACACCCAGATTATCCTTTTTAGGTTTTAGAATTATGTTTTGATGATTGAGAGCAAAAATAGCCTCATTGTCTAATGCGGTTCTCAGTTTATGTAGAGGTGATTTTTAAGATAACTATATCAAAAAGAAGGGTAAAGGGACCTAAGTAGTGATAAGGCTTCTGTATCGCACCCAAAGTGGAAAATACAAAGAATGTAATAAAATAAGTATATATATATTCTAATACCTAGATCATACACACACACACACACACACACACACACACACACACACATGCACACATGCAGAAACAAACAAAAAACCTCCAACAAAAACAAACTATACAAAGAGATTTATTTAAGAACACAATATAGGCCCAACATGGGCCTATTTATTTAAAAACACAATATAGGCCCAGCATGGGCCTATAATCCCAACATTTTGGGAGGCCAAGGTAGGTAGATCACTTGAGGCCTGGAGTTCCAGACCTGGTCAACATGGCAAAAACCTGTTTCTACTAATAATACAAAAATTAGCCAGGTGTGGTGGTGGCGCATGCCTGTAATACCAGCTACTTGGGAGGCTGAGGCATGAGAATCACTTGAACCCAGGAGGCAGAGGTTGCATTGAGTCGAGATCGTACCACTGTACTCCAGCCTTCGTGACAGAACAAAAACCACAATATAAGATATCACTTCACATACACTAGGATAGGTATAATAAAAAAATACATATAATAACAAGTACTGATGAGAATATGGAGAAATCAAAACCCCATGTACTACTGGTAGGAATCTGAAATGATGCAGTCACTTTGGAAAATATTCTGGCAGTTCCATAAAACATTGAGTAACCATTTGACCCAGCAATTCCACTCCCAAGTATGTACCCAAGAGAAATGAAGACATATGTTCACACAAAACTGATACACAAATATCCAAATGTCCATAAGTTGTTCATCAGCTGATGAATGGTTAAACAAAATGTTGTTTATCTCTACAGTGAAATATTATTCAGCACAAAGAATGAAGGTCTAATAGATGCTCAGCATCATGAACCTTGAAAACATTATGCTAAGTGAAAGAAGGCAGCCAAAAAATACCACATGTTGTATAATTACATTTATGTGAAATATCTGGCACTGGCATATCTATAGAGACAGAAAGTAGATGATAGTTGCCTAGGACTGGGGGTGGGGCACAAATTTGAGGAGTAACAGCTAAAGGGTGAAGGGTTTCTTTGTGGGGTTATGAAATCGTTCTAACATCAATTATGGTTATGTTTGTCCAACACTGAATATACAAAACCACTCAATTGTACACTTCAAATTTTGAATTGTATGGTATGTGAATTATATCTTAATAAAGCATTACAAAAAGCTCTACTATATATAAATTAAAATGGCATACTAAAAATAGTCAAGAAATGGAAAGGAGGACAGGAATAAAAAACAGAAGGAACATGCAGTGTTCAACACAATAAATTGGAAATCTTAAATCTTAACATTCATAATTACGTTAAATGTAAATGGTATAAACACACCAATAAAAAGGCTGAGATAAAAAAGAAGACTCGATTATATGCTATTTATAAGAAACTCACTTAAAATACAATAACATAGGTGGTTAAAAGTAAAAGAATGAGCAAAACTATAATAAACAAATACTAATGAAAAGAAAGCTCGAGTTAAGTATATTAATATCTAGTAAGGTAAACTTTAAAGACAAGACAATTACCAGAAACAAATAGAGATATTATATAACAATAAAAGGGTCAATTCAACAAGAATATATACAATTCCTAAATGTACATGTACTAAATCACAGAGCTTCACAATACTGGCAGCAAAAACTGATAGAACAGAAAGAAACACTTGAAAACACAATTATAATTGGTAACTTCAACACTCTTCTTTCAATAATTGCTAGAACCACTAAAATGAAAATCAGCAAGGACACAGAAGAACTGAACACTGAAAAAATGCAACAGGATACAACTGATATTTATTGAACACTTCATCTAATGACAGCCAGAAATACAGTCTTTCAAAACACCCATGGGACCCTCACCAAAATACTCAATATACTACATCATAAATGAATATTAACAGATTAAAAACTGAAGTCATACAAAGTGTGTTATTTGATGACAATGTAATTAAACTAGAAATCAATGACAGAATGATAACAGGAAATAATGAAATATTTAAGATAATCCATGGGTTAAAGAGAGAATCTCAAGGGAAATTAAAAAGTATAATTAAATGAATAAAAATATATTATTTTAAGGTTCTTGCACCACCCATGAAGGAAGCTTAGAAGGAAATATATAGTAATGAATGCTTTTAATTAGAATAGAAGAATAGTTTCAAATCAATTATCTATGCCTCTACTGTAGAACACTAAAACAGAAGAGCAAATTTAACCCAAAACAAGCAGAAGGAAGTACATAAGAAAAATAAGAACAGAGAGCAATTACATTAAAGTCAGAAAAAAATTGAGAAAATCAATGAAGCTAAAAGTTGGTTCTTGGAAAATAAAATTAATAAATCTCTAATCAGATTGATCATTAAAAACAGAGGAGACACAAATTCCCAGTATCAAGAATAGCAGAGGGGTCATCACTACAAAGCCTGCAGATATTAAAAGGCAATAAGGGAATGTCATAAGCCATAAACTCACAATTTGAGTGAAATGGATAAATTCCTTGAAAGACATAATCCTTCAAAGTCCGCTTAAGATACAGATGAACTCTCAACAGTACTTGTGGTAGAATTCTGAGATGGCATCTAAGACT